GAGGCAGGAGACTCACTTGAGCCCAGGAGTTGGAGGTTGCTGTGAGTGATCCCACAGCACTCTACCCAGGGGGACAGCTTGAGACTCTGTCTCAGAAAAAAAAAAGAATTCATCCATGGGAGTTATCATGATGAATTAGACAGACAGCAGGTCTCAGTTTCACTTTTGAGCAAAACTGAATTGGTAAGTCTTAACTCTGCCTCCTAGAAGTTGCTGGGAGACTAAAGGAGGCATCTGGAAGTTGTCGGCAGAAAACACATCACATGAAGTATTAGTGACACTTTATAGATAGGTCCAAGCATCACAGCAGGACCTGACTAGCCAGACTTGATTTGACACCAGACTGGAAAAGGAGATGCTGAACTAAGCATGATGGTCACAGAGAAGAAGCAGAAGAATTAGGAGGTGGAAGACTGACTCCCAAACCTGCAATGGGATCTTCAACTATAATGGTGATATTCCTGGGGCCTCCTGTAGATAGACGGGTGCAGAGAGGAGAGTCCAGACAGAGCAAATAAGAATAGAGAAAGAGGGAAAAAAAAAAAGAGTAGTCTAAATTTTACCTAACAGAAGTGGGGATGTAATTCCTCAGAGGAAATCCCAGTGCTGAAGGAGGGATGACTTGTATAAGAAGCTATTCATGAACCATACTTCCTGAGACCCTTCTGCAAAGGTTTTCCCTGGCTTCCTTTTTTCAAGGTAGGTTACTGTGGCTTCTGGAATCCACATGGATTCAAGGATGGGGGCAGGAAAGTTATACATGCTCAAAGGCCAGTGACTTGGAGTATGGTAGACTCCAGGCCTGTAGTAGCAGAGGTAAGGATCTTCACGTCTAAGAAAGCTCATGGGAAGACAGGCTTTAATTTGGAGATTTTTCTCCTAGGGAGTTCAAATAAGTTAAATCACAGGCTTGAGGGAAACAGAAATAAAAGTTTGTCATTCAGCAGGTTTTAGATGAGGACCTTAGCTCTTGCCTTTCTAAAAATCACAAAGAGAAAGCAATGGCAGCTCCAGTTGCTAAAGGGAATCCTCTTTTTTATTTTTTGGTCTTATTGAACTTTTAATATTTTATTTCTGGGGCTTTCCTGACACAGAATGGCTTTGAGGACAAAGGTCCATATTATACTTGCTATTAGAGAGATTCTACTACAAATTAAATGCAACCAAAGCCTGCCAGATATCAAAAACACAGGAAAGATGATGGCAGGGAGATGAAAAAAGCAATGAAACCGACCTTCCCTCAGTTTAGTCTGCTCCTGCTACCAGCCGATGCTTCTGTGTCGGAGGTCCCAGTGGCCAGGGCCTCCTTACCTGACTGCCTCTCAGCCTGAATAATGCAGCAGTCAGCCTCACCTACTTGGTGACTAGGTCACACCACCCCATACTATTGCCCCAATTTTAATTAGAAAATCCTAATATCACTTTCTCTCATATTGGTATTACATCCTGACCAAATGTCTAAGAAACCACAGGAAGAGAGAAGAAATTTAATGGGATTATTTTTAAAGCTCATTAATACTTTCCCTCAGTCTGACAGACATTTAAAACTTGAGTCATACTATCTTCTGATGCTAAGGAACTAGTAAAGAATCTAGGAAAGCATTTAATATTTAGGAATGTACAATGGAACAAACACAAACAAACTCAGAGATTTTGAGTTATTGGTATTATATTATAAACTCCTCTCTCGCATTACAAAGCAGAATACTGTGTCTTCAGATACATAACCTCTCTTTCTGCTTCTTTGAAAAACTTTCAAAACCAAACCTTCCTTTGTGCTCTAAATTCAGGGGCCACCTTGCTAACTAGCAGCTAGTGCTCATCATTACCTGGGGGTCCTCTGGAGGCAATGTTGGTATCTGAATGGGAGCGAACGTGGCTCTTCTTTGTCCCATTGGTGACAGTGAGTGTCTGGCCCTCTGAAAAGCTGGACCTACGAAGCACACTGGACAGTTGGCTCTCTCTACCACCATCCTGGTCCCCTAAGGAAGAGGCAGCAGAGTCTGGCTTCTGAGAGCTGCTAGAGGAGAATAAGTTGGAGCTGCTGCTCTCGGCGTTGCTGCTGTGACTCTGACAGCTGGCAGTCCGGTCTCGGGGCTCCAGGTTGCCGATGGCCAGGTACTCAGGGCCCTCACTGGCATCACTTGGGGAATCATTTTGGCTGCTGCCCCAGGATGCCTCTATGGGGCTGGTCTGAGTGCTGGAACTCATCTCATTTGGGGTTGAAGGGGAATCCCTGGCTAGTGCAGAGACTGAGAGCTGGGAGGGTTGGATGGTTTGATCTTCCACTGGTGTGACGTTCCCTCTGCTTTCTTGAAGTTTCCGTGGTAGGCCAGAGAGTGAAACAGAATTAGATCTTCTATCTAGGATAGAAAAATAAAGAGTAAAGAATCCTACAGTATATATGGAAAAGGGCTTTTCCACAACTAAGGACCAAACTCTTTCAAACTCTTTATTATTACTGGTTGCACAGGACCCATGGTATTACCTAGTAAAAGTCAAAGTAAAAAAATTGTTTAGAAGCCTTAGTAAGTACTTCCTCATCTAGAAAATGAGCAATAATACCTATACCTCATAGGATTATTTTAAGGATCAAATGAGATAATACATATCAATTGATTATTAAAGAGCATGCATGTGGTAAACAATCAATAAATGTTAGCTATTATTTAAATGCCTTCTTGGCTATCTGGTTTAGAAACTTGGGAAATCTGAAAACATCTCTCTTTCCCATTATATAATGATTCTACTGAATTATCTTAGGCTTGTCACTATATAACTTTTTAACACATCTATTATTAAGACATGAAGTTTGACAAACAGCACCAACCCTATGCTCAATTCTCAACCTGTGAGCAGCAACAAAGTCTTCTACTTTCCATGGCTGGGGATATATGTAATCAATCACCCCTTCCTGCCCCTGTACCTGAGCTGTTGTTGGGTACGGATTGATGCAGGCTAGAGAAGGACCCAAAGTAGGATTGCTGAGCATAGCTGGTTGGAGGCGTGTATGTGGAACCAGGCAGAGCTGTCAAACTCTGGCTCTTTGTCACCAATAGCGGGCTCTCGTGCTTTCTGGCAAACTAAACAAAACAAAACAAAATGTGTCACAGTCAAGGATACCGGGCCTCAGAGAGGGGCACTCAGTACTTTAGAAATGCTGGTAGAAGCTGGCCTTTGGCAATAGGCATGGACTTTACCTATAGCCTACAGTTATAGCACAGTTACCCTCTACTATGGCACACAACTTAAAACTTCGAAACTTTAAAGTCTTGCTATACCTCACAGCTTCTGTACTAGAATCCTTCCAGGTGGTCAAACCAAGAGTGCTTTATCATGGAGGCAGCACAACAAAGTGCTTAAGATTATGCATGTGTCCAGAACTCTTCTTGGTTTGTGAAGAAAAACAAAAAAAGTTTATGCATATGGAATCAGAAGTCATACAGACCCAGGTTCAAATCCAGGCCCTATCACTTATAAGCTATTTGGTCCAAACTTTGGACAAATGCCTTATCTACTCCATGCCTCAGTGGCCTCTGTAAAATCAGATTAATGTTTAGCTCATAGAGTTGTGAGCATTAAACTGTACATAGACAGCACCATGCCTGGCATATGGGAAGTGTTCAATGAATAGTCACCAATAATCAAAAGAAACAGGAGAGATGGGAATCTCCTTCTAAAAGGAATAGAGACTTCAATTCCATTCTAGCTGAGACACTGACCTGAATATTAGTGATGGGGTGATTTAAGTATAGGCAAAATTTCCTTTGTATTACAAAATTTTCTTTAAATTATATCAAAGAAAAAAAAAGATTCCATGTAACACTAAACCATATAGGCCTGACACTAAACCCTACTCCTGATTCAGAAACATCCTCTTCTCTCCAGCTCTCTGTCAAGCCTTAAGGAGATACTTACTCAGACTAAGGATCCCAGGCATTTAAAAAGCATAACCCCTGCTCCCAGCAGACAGACCTAAGCTTAGACTTCTTATTTCAATAGGTACTTCACAGTACTTTCCCTTCTCTCTACGCATTTTATAAAATGAAAACCTTTAAGCTCACAACTGTTTAAGTAGCTTGCTATAGAAGGGTACATCACAGTGAGGGGTCCAGGGACCCAGTATAGATACAGACAGCCGCTTTTCCCCTTTACCATAGATGCATCAATCTGAGCCAGGAGGCGGGGGTTGTTTTGTTCCACTGCTTCCAGGCATTGGAGCATGGCCGTGACGTGGGCGTCACTTAGCAGGAAAGCAGAATCTGGGGAGAGAAAAGCTACCATGGTGACGGAGCCCAACATCTCTAGCCTCCCTGTTTGGTCCTAGGAGAAGCTCAGGGAGAGAGAGAAATAAAGTAAAAATGAATAAGGTAGAAGAATGCCATTGTGGAGTGAAGGGAATTCAGGAACAAGCAAGTAGAGAAGAGGCTAAATAATGTACATATAGCAAAGGGGCCAAGGCAAGAGGCATCAGAGTTAGAACAATCCAGATTTGAATCCTAGCGTGGGTGATTGGGGTCTAGTCACAAACCTCCTTTAGCTGAGTGTCTCTGGCTGGAAAGCAAGGATACTAATGCCAATTCTCAGGGCTGCTGCGAAGAGTATGATACAGTGTAACAGTGATTGGAACATAGAAAACTCTCAGTAAATGGTAGTTATTCTTATTGGTTTGTGCGTATGGGAGTAGGGAAAGACCCTAGCATAAGTCTGAGTGTGTTTTACACAGAAGGTGAAAGGGAAGACTGGATACATGTTTCTGAGTAGAATCCCCAGGGCACCAAGTAAAAATGAGGCTCTCAGGTGAGAGGGACGTTTCTATAAAATAGTGAGGTAGAAGAGAATGAAGATGTATAAGCACCAATGTTAAGTGGCCTCACCTACCTGTGTAGAATTTTCTGATATACTGTCTATCCCCGAGCAGAGGTCGGAGCTGGGCTGACAGACAGTGGCACTGCAAGCTGTGCTGCAGCCACAACTCTGCAATGGCACGCTCACTCACACCATCACCACTGGTCTGGCCATTCTCATGTAAGTGGATGAACTGGGAAGCAAACAGGCATGAGTCAAAAGATACATCCTGGAAGACACAGCAAGATTGAGGCCTACCGACCTGAGAACTAAATTACCTGAGACATGTAAGACCCTCAGAGGTACTTTCCTCCACTTGGCATTAGAGGATATTGGAGAAAGAGAACAACAGAAGGGATTAATGGCTTCAATACTGAACTGGGCCACTGGTCAGGGACTAAAAAGTTAAAACTTGACACATAGCACTGGGAGAGGACAAAGCCGCTAAATCTGGCTCTTTATGTTCTAACTCCAAAAAGAAATCTGTTCTGGGGTATTTAGAAGAAGGATGAATTTGCTTCTTGGCTTCTCTCAGATGCCTCTATTTCAAAAAAATACAACAAAAATCTGGAACAAAGGACCTAGCAAAAAATGTCACCAAATATTCTCCACTAAAGAGAAGAGAGCCATCTGAGAACTTCATTTTGGCTCTAGTCAAGGCATTCTTTATTTGGGAATTCCTCCTATTTGGCTGTCTCTAAAAGTACAGTTTCATAGCCCCAAATCAGTGCAAAAAATGCATAGATAGCAACTGCAGGCAACTTCTAACGGGAAATGACTACAGTACATTTTAGAAAAGGAAGTTGGAGCGAGGTTTGGTGGGAAAAGTCAAGTGAGAAGGACAAAGAAAATCTATGGGCTCTGGCCTTGTCTCATGAAAAAGGCCAGTAAGACACCCTGTAATTTAGTTGTCTAATCATGTAGAAATGAGTTACCTTTCCTGATACCATCTCAGCAATGAATCTGGGATATACATGAAACTAGACTGGTCATGTCAGGTGTTGGGTATTTCACAGTTCATTTCACTCTTCTAATTTTATATATATATTTGAAATTTCCCATAATAAAAAATTGAATAAATACATACATAAAATAGGCAGTGATTACTCTGAATTAGCTATGTAACTTTGGCCAAGTCACCTAACTTCACTGAGCTCAACTTCCTTAACTGAGCTGTGAGAGGAGAGAAAACTGGACTGCTACAGTGGTAGCCAAAGCCATTAGGAACATACTTGGCTCCATCTGATACTTCCTTCCAGAAACCTTACATTTCTTTCTGATTGGTACAACATCTTCTTCTTGAACAGTTATCAACTTATCAGTTCCCATTTTCTCTGCTGCTTTAAGGAACCTCTTGCCTTTTGCCCTGGATTTTGAAATGCTTCACCTTGGTCCCATATACCCAGAGTTTTTGAAGACAACAAAACCTTTTCATCCCTTCCCAAAAGGAGATAAAGTAGCTTGGACCGTGGATTTGCAGGTTTATTTTTTATTTATTTTTTTGAGACAGATTCTCACTTCACTGCCCTTGGTAGGGTGCTGTTGCATCACAGCTCACAGCAACCTCAAACTCTTGGGCTCAAGCAATCCTCGTGTCTCAGCCTCCAAAGTAGCTGGGACTATAGGCGCTGGCTGCAACACCTGGCTATTTTTAGAGACAGGGTCTTGCTCTTGCTCAGGGTGGTTCAGAACTTATGAGCTCAAGCAATCAGCCTGCCTCGGCCTCCCAGAGTGCTAGGATTATAGGTGTGAGCCCACTACACCTGGCCTGCAGGTTTATTTTTTAAAATGCAGTAACTCTCCCCTCCAAGTCAGCTCTATGGGAATAATTTCCTTTCCTCAGTTAACAGGAACTTGACAACTATGTTCTTCTTGTCTAGGAGACTCTTGTGACAGAACAAGTAGTGAAGAAATGCAGCTACATCTGAGCATACCAGCTCTCCTTTCCTTCTTACCTTCTCCACATGAAGGGCTGAGTGGGGACTGAGCCATCGAATGTCTTTCACAAATTGCCAGTAATCAGTCTGGCGGCAGCACACCTGCTGACAGAAGGCATAAAGTGAGCAAATCACTACCATTTTGGACTAAACCTAACTCTAGTGTTGACAGACAAAGAGAGAAAAAAGAGCATAACCCTTCTTTGCTTCAACAAAGGTTCTCAGCATCAATCAAAGGAATATATACACATGTTCACTCTTTTAAAGCTAATTGTTAAAAATTATTTTAATCATTCTTTTGAAGAGTTAATAAATGCATGTTATAGAAGGTGTACTTCAAAAATAATACATTTTCTACCCCTCTTTCTCCCCCATTTGTTTTGTAAAAGGTAACTGTGGTAAAGGGTTATTTGTTAAACAACAGAGATAGGTATCTTTAGTCCCAACTGCAAGCAAAATTACATAAAGAAACATCCTACTTTCCCCATACTATCCAGGTTAAGAAAGGGCTGTATTTAGAATCAAAGAAAGGTTCAGCCCTGGATAAAATGGAATAAGCTTGAACATGATAGCAAAATGTTTATACCATGAAAATTCAAAGGTTGTTTTTGAGAATCCTTTCTGAGACTACTGCACAGAAATTAAAACTGGAATCTAAACAATCCAAAAAATACAGAGCTGGATGAGATGCCTCACACCTGTAAACTGAGCACTTTGGGAGGCCAAGTCAGGAGGATCCCATGAGGCCAGAAGTTCAAGACCTGCCTGGGCAAAATAATGGAACCCATATCTATTTTTTAAAAAAAATTAGCTGGGCATGATGGTATGTGCTGGTAGTCCCATCTATTTAGGAAGCGGAGGCAAAGGACTGCTTGAGCCTAGGAGTTTGAGGTTATGAGGAGTGAGCTATGATCAAGCCCAGCCTGAGCAACCAAGTGAGACACTGTCTCTAAAACAAAACAACAAAAAATTATATATAGAGAGTATATGCACATGAGAACTTGCACAAGTATCAATAGAGATCAACTGATACAACAAAATTAATAACCTAGAAAGAGACCTTAAGATATATCAGAACTTAATAGACGATTCAAAAAGCATCTCAAAAGTCAGTGGACCTCTGCTATAGGAGAAAGGTGCAAGTGAGAACCGGCAATGTCTGATGTACAGGCTTGTTTTGACAATCAGCATTTTGGAGACCGTTAATATTTTGACAGCAATTTGGGAGAGTTTCTAGCCCTTGGTTTCTGGTTTAGTCAATATTAAACGACCAGACAGAGCTGGCCAGCAATGGGATATCAATTCCAGTATGTCTCCTGGTTATGTCATTTTTAAGTGAATAGCATCTAAAATTGGTTTTCAAGAAGGAATACTACCCAACACATTCTATGAAGCAAACATCACCTTGATTCTCAAACCAGGAAAAGATCCAACAAGAAAAGAAAATTATAGACCAAAATCACTAATGAATATTGATGCAAAAATATTCAACAAGATCCTACCAAAGAGAATCCAGCAACACATCAAACAAATTATACACTATGACCAAGTGGGTTTTATCCCAGGGTCTCAAGGCTGGTTCAATATACATAAATCTATAAATATAATTCATCACATAAACAAAATAAAAAGACCATATGATTCTCTCAATTGATGCAGAAAAAGCTTTTGACAATATCCAGCATCCTTTCATGATCAGAACACTTAAGAAAATTAGTATAGAAGGGACTTTTTTTTTTTTTTTTGAGACAGAGCCTCAAGCTCTCGCCCTGGGTAGAGTGCCGTGGCATCACAACTCACAGCAACCTCCAACTCCTGGACTAAAGTGAATCTCCTGCCTCAGCCTCCCAAGTAGCTGGGACCACAGGCGTCTGCCACAGCGCTCAGCTATTTTTTTGGCTGCAGCCATCATTGTTGTTTGGCAGGCCCAGG